TATTAGATGGATAATGGACTATAGGTACATGATAACTGAGGCCAGACAAGTCCAATGGATTGGATTTCCCTGTATCGTTTGGGGATTACGGCATAGTGGCTTAGTACGTTCGTAGTCGATGAGTCGAGTGAATTATTATAGAGATAATAATTCACTGAGTCAGAAGGAGTTCTGACAGTTATGACTCACAGCTAACTCGATATTGGGCCTAGAAGGTCACACACACATATGATAGGCGTTGCGATGAGTAGAGGTTCGGATGTGAGATATCCACCGGAGCCCCTATCTTATTGGATATCCAATAAGCCTATGAATTATTGGATCCTATGGATGAGATCCTATAAGAGCTGATAAGAGATTATTGGATAGAGACCTACTAATCTAAGAGGCTTGGGTAGTTGGATAGAGATCCAATACCCAATAAGGTATGATCTATTCGGGTTAAGTTGACAAGGGACCTATATAAATAGGAGGGAACCAATAGTTCATAGGCTAAAGCATTTTTAGGTTGTATATCCTATTTTTCTCTCATTCTCCTCCTTAAATAGTAGGCTTGGAGTTTTGAGGAGCATCATTGTAGTTGTGCTGTGTGGATCACCATTAGATAAGAGGACATTTGACCTCCTTCACCCTCTCTGAGAGATTTACAAGGAATCAGGGATATACGATCTCCCTAGGTAACACAATCTTTTATATATGCAGTTTTTTATTTTATGGATTTTACGCATCAATCTTCACACGACGACGAACACATCTTTGAGAAATTTGTGATTTTGCTTTATGTTCTTCCGCTGTGCATGTGATATCGCCTCTAGATTTTCCTACAAGTGATGACACATATGACATGATACATACTATTTTTATTTATTATTATTTATTAGTATTTTTCACTTTATGTTGCTTGTTATATATATTGTGATATTTTTTGATCTACGCAATGGAAAGCGGATCATAATGAGACCACAATAATGAGATCGATTCGCCTTTAAACATATACCATAAATAATTTTGGTTGTAGGTTATTTGAGAGGGACATACTCATCCATATGATGGAAGCGGCTGGTCTCATAGCTGCTCGTATGGGGACACTAGAGATACAATGTAGTCCTTATTGGAGAATGAGTTCATTGATTGATCCGTTCACAGAATGCTGGATGATTGATGATACCTCATTGTCAAATAATAATTATGTCATCCCAATTGTGTATTTAGTCCTTAGACTTGAGATATCAATGATGTCCTACATGAGTACTCCACTCTTTAATATTTAACTTATATATTTGGAAGTTCCAAATCTAGCACAACCAGTGATCGAGAGTGGCAGCCAATCTCACGAGGGCAATTGAGTATCGATAAGAGGATCATCTGCTCTCGACGTCATGAGAGGAATATCCTTTATGTTTTTGCTTAGGCAAATCCCTGACCAAGGTTATTCAGATTAAGAGGAAAAGAGTTCTCTAGGAGAATCCGATTAGAGCGAGACTCAAGTAGATTCCGTATGGGCCTAACAGCATCATGCCCAGTATATAGTCTCTAGGATATTATATGGATGAGAGACTATAGATACACAGTAATTCAGAACATATAGATCCAATGGATTGGATTTCTTTATATCGTTTGGGGACTGTAGCGTAGTGACCTAGTACGTCCATAGTCGTCTAGTACGTTTGTAGTCGATGAGTCGATAATTCACTAAGTCATAAAAAGGCCTAATATGTATGACTCATGACCAACTCGATATTGGGTTTAGAGGATCACACACATATGGTAGGTGTTACGACGAGTGAAGGTTTAGATATAAGATATCTACTGAAGCCTCTATCTTATTGGATATTCAGTAAACTCATAAATTATTGGATCTTATAGATAAGATCCAATAAGAGCTAATGAAAGATTATTGGGTAGAAATCCACTAATCCAAGAGGCTCAAATAGTTAGATGGAGATCTAGTATCCAATAGGGCAGGATCCATTAGGGTTAAGTTGATAGGAACCTCTATAAATATGAGGGAACCAAATGGGTTATAAGTTAGACTCCTTTTGGCTGCCACCTCCTATACTCCTCCCTCCCTCTCCTCCTTAGCCAACAACCCAAATTTGAGTCGTGTGGATAGCAAGAAGGGGCAACCCCTTCTTGTTCACGTGGTGCGCGTGGAGAGGAAGGTCATGCAGCTATTTGAGGAGCATCTTCGTCGCATCTGCCATGTAGATCACCACTACAGAGGAGGACAATTGACCTCCTTCATCCTCCCCTACAGATATGTTAGTTTTTAGTGATATATGATCTCCTTAGGTAACACATTATTTATATATACTTAGTTTTCGGTTTTGTGGGTTTTTGCGCACCAATCTTTGCACAACGACGAGAAACCCTTTTATACAGAAAATTTAAGATTTTTATTTTCTATTTTCCCACTGTGTATATGATGCTACCCTAGGTTTCCCAACATCCTCCTTGCCTTGTCTTAATACTAGAAACATTGTTGTCCTGGTCCTCGAGTGCACGTTCTCGAGGAATTAGAGTTTGAACTCATTCACTGGTTGAGTAAAAGCACTAATAGAAAACTATTTTAGACAAGCATACCACTCTCTTATCGAATCCCTTAAGGTGGTTAGGAAGGCACGGTATATTAGGGCATTTGAGGTAACATATATCGACATCTAAGTCGGGAAGGTAGCAATGTGCTCTACTAGGTTAGTAGCACCGTTAAAAGGTTTCCAACAACGGGATGCGAAAATTTGTAGGGATTGGCTCCTCTTGTATATTTTGAATAAATGGGGACTGACCCGGTGTGGAGTCGACCTGCCCCTCACCCCTAGATTCATGAAAGTCGTGACACATTTCTTCTAGGCGCCGATCCATTTGTTGTAATCAGATCCTCAAGAAATTAGTCGTTGAGTCAGTCGAGTGGGTCTCAGACTCAAGTGGAGTGGAGCGGTGGTGGGGTAGCCTATTGAATTTCACGATTGGGGAGTGGGGAGCCATCTCAACTAGTGGTTCGATGGGTCACGAATGCTCGAGAGGGGCTATTAGTCTGTTAGATAGAAGGATGCCAATGGATGTTGACATCGATGGTTGTGGAATTGTCATCGATGGTTGAGATAGTGGTGTCACTTATTAGTCTGACTATGTTAGGAGTGGAGTGACTACTTATATTATGCCGACTAGTGCTTGCATCTACTATGTGAGATTCAGGAATGCCTCAGTAGGAATGAAGAGATGGTCAGCGAACACTCGCGAAAATGAAGGTCTATGGTCATTAAGTGAATGCCAATATTATAGTGGTATTTGTGGTGAGGTGGATGCATCCATATAGGGAAAGGGTGGTTGTCACCCTATTTGAGTGAAAACATTATGGGTTGGAAGCACTGTCTCACTCGGATGTTCGCAAATAGGGTCGACCTGTGGATGCTTGACATCGAGCCTTAATTTTAGTGCCAAAATATTAAGAAAAAATATTATTGATGTCTTTATCAGTACAACGTGGCCTTGATTCGGATGCGAGGAGTCGCTCAGGGTAGAGTAGGGATTCTCCAGTTTCATTCCTACACAAGGACCAAGGTCGAGAGGGGTTTCCTGAGCCGATCTCTCCAATCTCAAGTTAGTATTTAGTTATATATTTTCTTTTTTTTTCTTCTCCCTCTAATCTAGAGCTAAGAAAGAGAGAATATTTTATGAAGATCCTATAGAGAATGCGATTCATAAGAGCGAATATTTTATGAAGATCCTATAGAGAATGCGATTCGTAGCTGATTCAAATTACCTTTTGATTTTCTTAAAATATTCTTGTGAATATTTCGAGAGATGATTCATAACCTATCTAAATCACCTCTTATTCTTCTAGGAATATTCTTATGAATATTTCATCGAAGTGGTAACTCGATAATATGGTAAGTAAACCCGAGTTACTTTTTGGGCTTTGGGTGAGGATGTTGTTTTAATATGATATTTAACGTGACGAATAATGACTAGTTGATTTTATATTCTGAGTATAATAATATTAGTAACTATGAACTTAAGTATTTTTATCAATAATTATGGATTAATAAAACTAATAAAACAATCATCCTATCAAATAGGTGATTACACATCAACGCACCACATGCAAGCTTACTTACCTCCTATTAATATTACTTACTCTCGCTCCAACCTTGAAGTGGAAGGTTGTCCTCAAAAGCTTGCTTGTACTCTAATATTTATCCTCTGACAGAGGTAGTCTGACACTTTGACTGTTGATTCAATGTGGATGCTCATGTCTCCTAATTTGGCTTGGAAAGTTACCATGCCTGAGAGAGAGGAGCACAAGCTCCACATATATGCTTCCATCACTGTATGTACTGCAGGGAGGCACTCAATGTTCAGAGTGCGCTCAGTGGTTGGTGAGGGATGAGTGTCACCATCAAGATCCTGCACCCTGACAAGGAGATTAGGTCAGAGGAGCAGCCTGTAGAAAATGGAGGAAGGTTTTCCATGGTCCACTCAATGTCTCTGTGTAGAGAAAATGGAGGAAGTGTTTTCTTTTTCTATGGTCCACTCAATGTCTTTGTGACAAAGGCAATATCAAGACCATGTGAGGAGATCACATGTCTCCATTATAGATGTTTCTTTTGCAGATTTCTCCCCTCTCCATGATTCTAGGTGGGAAGAAAGTGACAACAAGGTCTTCATTCATTGCTCTCAAGCATGTCCTGTACTCTTGATTTATGAAGTCTTGGCATTATATACTGTCTGTCCTCTTGATTTATCAAGTATAACACTGATGTTTTATTTTTTATTTTAATTATTCGATATAATCTGATTCAAGATCATTTTCAAAATAAATTTGATGTCGAAGATCAGAGCGTATTCGATAAATATTCCTTAGAGACTAAAGTAATTATGATGTGAAGAATGTTTGCTAATGCCATATCTTAAAAATACATAATATTAAGTGTCAAACAGTACATCACCACTTAATATTGACACTTAATATTGACACAGGATGTCCAACTTCATATCAGGTCACACAGTTTTGCCATGATTGGAACCAAGGAAGCCTCCAAGCTTCTGAACTCTGTTCTGCACAGCTTTTGAGTCCCAACCTTTTGTGGCCTCCAGTGTGATAGATCACAACATGTCTTGGTATTGAGCACATCTGAATTGAACTCCCTGCAACCTAAACAACATATCATTTTGGTAGCTAAATGACCAACAATTAGAACAGCAACACATAATCGCAAATGAGATATAATCAACATTACTTCAGATTCTCCTTATTCATAGCATTCCTTTTCTTATTCTTTTCAAAACATGTCTATTCCAAAACTAATGAAGTTATTGTTCAGATCTCAAACTTTTGTGGCACTTGTGCAAAACACAGCATAAATTACAACTCAACACATGCATGATCGGCCTGTTAAGTAATTGACATGTGAAGAGAGTGAATACTTTATATGCCTTTCGATCTTGATCATCCAGAGTTACTCGCAAGCATGAATGAGGCAGAGAAAGAACGAACAGAGGGTGAGGACTAGAAATCAAAACATGGAGTTCCTTCATTTGGTTGCAAGGAAAGGAAGGCAGAGTTGAAGAAGAAGAAGAAGAAGAAGAAGAAGACCATGAGGACCATCTCCCCATCACCAAGTACTAATGGTGTCAAAAGGTATCAGATCGGGTGCTAAATCTTGCGTTGCAGAAGAACAGGAATGGCACCATGGCCCTATGTGTCTCCCTAAAGCTTTGACTGATGACATGGAGCTTCATGTTCTTCCATTATCTAGGATTTGAATTAAGAATGTGATCCTACTTTATTTCCCCTCCTTTTTCCCTAAACCCACAACATTTTGTCCCCCCCTCCCTCATCAAATCTTCCACAGTGTTCTGCCGACAATACTCTCATCATCGGGAGTCTTCCATCCATTGATGGCAACTCTCACTTTTGTGTTTCCATTGATCAGCTCCTGAAGCCTCATGAACCTGTGTTTGATGATGAAAGAATCATCCATGTTCAACTGAACATAAGCCAAAATACTAAACGATTGTGCTGATGGAAGTAGGCAAAATCATTTCCATTTCATTGTTCAGATATGTGAGTCTCACCGAGCACTTTTTCAGAAGCAAGCTTCAGCTCAATCTCTTTTTTCATATAAACAGATGAATAGTAGATAGATTGAAGCATCAGAGTGTCCTCCATTCATGTCATCCCAATCACCACAGCCATCCAGTTTTCAGCTCTGCATACTGGATTCTGCAAGTGGATCAACTTGGCAAATACAAAATCAAATTCAATCAAGGCTCAAATGTGATGTGCCCTCAGCAGATCTGAGGGAATAATCTCCCAGCTATAAAGCACTGGGGATAGCCAATAAAGTTGCTTCAAGATGTGACTCTGCTGCAACTCAAAAGTCACCTTTATTGCATCAGGTCTCACTTCTGCAGCATCTGCAGTAAGCTGTGACCTGCTGCTACTCCAGCCAAGAAGGAGAAATCATCCTTGGCTGCTTCATCTCTAAGCTTCGTGAGAGCTTATATGCAAGTGTAATAAATATATTTTGATGCCCATATAAGTTTTATTTCTTTTTTTTGTTTTGTTTTGGGAGAAAAACAACAAAAAATGTTCATCGTGATCATGAATAGGAATACAAAGGAAAAGAACAAGATGCAAATTGAGATCATATTTGTCTTCGATCAAACAAAAGGAAGAACAGCAGTGAAGGGTACATGCGGTGGACCTGCGGTTCAGCTTAACACACTTTGCTCCCTCTTAGGTGCAGCAATGAAACCGAGCCGGGCCCCGGTGGCCGCACCGTGGTCTCTCGCGCATGCCGACACCCGCGAGTGAGCAGACCAGAGGACCTTGTCGCGTCGCGTTGCGCCGCACCCATCATTTCCCCTAATTACCATCCGGTACAACAACGCTGCATAGGAAACAGGGGTAAAATAGTCATTTGGAGGATAAAGCGAGTGCAAAGGTTGGTGGTCGATCCCCTGTCTCGTACGGGCCACCGACATGGAACGATCGATTCCCATTGGTAGAACGAGCGGGTCCCGCACTTCCGACGAGCGGAGCCGCAACTTCGCGTCGCCTAGAGGACAAGTTAAATGACAAGAATACCCTCATCGGGCGCGAGAGGACCATTGAAGTGAGGGTATTATAGTAAATAGAGTCGACGCTTTTCGGGGGCATAACTGCCATTGTGTCGCCGCATCAAAGGGCAAATCCGTCCGCGAAAAAGGCGTGCCCGGGATCTGCGAGGGGCACCTGTCTCAGACAACCATCGAACAGAGAAACAACGCTGTACCATTGATTGCAGAAGCGGGCCCCACGCCTCGCAGAGAACAATGGCATCTCGCTTTCTGAAGTTTCCTGGTTGGTGTTCTTTCGACAGACCAGTGACGTCAATCGTGCGAAGTAGGAGAAAGATTCGATGACGAATGTACCCTTAGAACGGAAGCATAATCCTCGGACGATAGCAGTTGAGGTGAGGCTATTTTGGTAATTGAGCGACCGGTTCGATCTCTCCCAAACGTGGCGTCGTCGTCCGAAATCTTTTGGACAGCGATATGTATGGTTTTTGTTTCCCTTCTTTCCCTTCTTTCCGTGGCGGAATAACAAACCCCTAATAGCCCTAAGAATCGAGACAAAGGAACCCTAAAAACCCCTTATTGTAGATCCCACGGAGGGAGCTCGATTCCCTCCCCGCCATTAATGGGTAGTCGTGTACAGACCGGAAGGCTCCGTCCGGATGCCCCCACCCCTCCGTTGCCACGCATCACTGGATGACGCCTAGTGATTCGAGTTCGCTCGGCGCTGGCCGATGGTAGGACTCGAAACCTAAGGAAAATGGCAGATGGAGGAGCCCTTTCCGCTTGTTCCGGAGCTGCTGTTAGTTGCGGGCAAGCTCGGAAGGTCTCGTGTTCGAGCTGAACCGGAGCTTGGTGGATGAGCTTGGAGAATTTCTCGGCTGATAGTTTGGTTTTCTGATGCTGGGTTGGCGCCCAAGAATCGAGAACAAAAACAAAGGTTGCAGCTTGACTTCGAATCGGTGAAAAAGGAGTGTCTCTTCTGATCGATGTAGAGAATGCCAAAGGAGGAGGCTTGGTACTGTTTAAGCTCCCGAATCTTCCCCGTCCGCTGACTTGGGGAAGAGAACTAAGGCGAGGGGGGGAAGGAAGAAGGGGGACGAAGGCGACCAGAGATCGATAAAGAAATCGGTGGGCCAAACGGATGAGATTTAGGGAATATAATACCGAGGTAATCCAGAAAGTAAAGCTTTATTTTAATTGCTGCATATCTCGTGAAAATCCAGGAATTCGATTCAGTTGTTGCTTCGAGAAAGGGGCTTGTCTCGAATCATCGCCTCCGTTGCATTGCAGTCCACCAAAGAGTTCTCTTCCTGCTCTGCTTCGCTGTTAACCTCGCCGGGTATTCTTTGTTTATTGATGTCACAACTGATGAGCTGCCTCTGTTTTGTCCTTAATCCCCAACCAATTCCTTTAAAGATTGGAAGAGGTAGGTGCATTCTTTTCTTGGTTCTGTTAGGTTGTTTTCGCATCTCTTCTCTTCATCTCCCCTTTTTGGTTTCTGTGAGCTACTCTTCCCTCCAATGATGTTTGTAGTTGGAGGAATTAGAGCATGGTGAAGAAGTCGCTGGGCTGCCTTATTTTCCCTCTCCATCAAAAAGGAAAGAAAAGGGTATAAAAAGCTGTGGTTTCTACCTCTTCGTACGAACTGGCGGCAGAAAAAGAAGAAGAAAGGGGGAGGCGAGGCTGGGTGTTGGTTCCTGGTGGTATGGGTCTGAAGACGGGGGCGGGTGGTGAAAAGAGGTGGTGGTGGAACCGAAATGTGATCATGGTGCTCTGGGTGATGCTTTCGGTAGGCTTTTGCATAGGTTTGCATTGCCATATGAGGACAGAAAGCATGAGGAAGGCAGAGGAGACATTGACGAGCATGTGTGAGGAGAGGGCAAGAATGCTGCAGGAGCAGTTTGCTGTAAGTGTCAACCACGTGCATGCTCTAGCGATCCTTGTGTCGACCTTTCACTACCAGAAAAGCCCACCCGCCCTTGATCAGGTCAGAGTAATTGCACTATGTCTTGGTATACGGTTTATCGATCTCATGGTTGATACTGTAGTCTGTCGGTATTGCTGATATTGCTTGGATTGGTTGGGTAAGGTGCCAAGGAATATATTTATTATGTTAGTGATGATTAGTATCTCAACCATCAGATATCTTTTATTAGTTTTTCTTGGTTTTTTGTTCTTGAAAATTAGTAAACATTTTCTTTTTATTTTTTTGTGACTTAAAGCTTCTATCATCCATTTTTAAGTAGTTTTCCCCCTTGTTGCTCAGATACAGATGTTTACAAATTGCACTATTTGATTTTATTGATATGGTTCTTTAATTTTTGTCAATCTTATTTCAGGTTCTTGGTGTTCCTATCTTTTATTTTCTTGAGCATGTTCTCTTCTTTTGTATCTTTTCCTTCATTACTTTATCTTTTACATTAAACAATCTGTTTTGTATCATTTCAAATCGGGCTATAGGGTTTCGGATTGTGTGCTGATTAGAATTTGCTTTCAGGAGACTTTTGCAGATTACACAGCAAGTACAGCTTTTGAGAGGCCATTGTTGAATGGTGTGGCTTATGCACAACGGGTTGTCCATGCTGAAAGACAACTGTTTGAGAATCAACAAGGCTGGATGATCAAGACTATGAAACGGGATCCATCTCCTGTACAAGATGAGTATGCCCCTGTGATTTACTCTCAGGAGACTGTCTCCTACATTGAAGCCCTTGATATGATGTCCGGAGAGGTTGTGCACTGCAATCAAATCTGTCAAGTTTCTTGTTTAATTTCTTCACTATTGTTCCTTCCAGTGATGAATATTTTTCTGCTAACTGTAGGAAGATCGTGAAAATATCTTAAGGGCTAGAGCAACCGGAAAAGCTGTTCTTACAAGGCCCTTCAGACTTTTGGAGTCTAACCATCTGGGTGTGGTTCTAACATTTCCTGTATATTTGTTAGATCTTCCTGATGATGCTACAGCTGAAGAGCGTGTGAGAGCAACTGCAGGGTGAGATAACCTACTTCTGTCGATATCACTTCAGGGTTGTTAATTGCCCATTTGTAGATGATCATCACTAAACTAGATTATGAACACATGTGACTGGATCATTCAAACCTGGACAATTTGTTGGTAAGTTTGTTAAATGAGAATATGATATACTGGCATAGACGATTTTGAGTTGGGCTGTATGACAATATGTATCTCTACTGGAAGAGCCTTACCATCATTCATGGTTTTTGATTTTGTCTGTGCAAACTGTTGTTTGAATTTCATAGCGACACAGTAAGGTACATGTTCACTGATACTGTAATTATTTACCATACTCAAAACTATTATTGTACTTTGTCACACTCTTGAGGTTAACATCAGAGGAAATGCAGTTCACCAGTATATATAGAAGTTATTATAACTGTGGGTTGATGACCTCCTAAAATTTTTCAGTCATTTAATTGGCCAAACTTCGAAACCAATGCTAGCAGTGAATAATTGCTGCAGGCTCTATATATATATATATATATATATATATATATATATATATATACCCTCCAAGTACATATATCATGAATGTATGTCATGTCCATATTTGTTTTGGTGGAATTTACATAATGCAGTAACGCCTAAACTCAGTATGAAGAGCTAGAAAGCTAACATGTTAATACATTAGTGACCTTGTGGATGGCGTTATTTTTGCTACAATTTCTATTTAAGAATACCCATAAATTATATATGCATACTAGGTTGTCAAAGAGATATGGGCTTCTTGTTGTAAGCCTTTTAAAAAGAATTTACTGAGAACCTCTTATGGTTTTGGCTTCCCTGACATTCTAATAACAGGAAAGAACTGACAAACCAAAATTCATAGTTTGCCTTTTGTTGGTTTCTTTATATATATTTTCTGTATTGGGACATTCTTTATCTCTTTGATCATCTTTCTTTATCAAGTTTGATAACCTTTGGAGAACAGGTACCTTGGAGGAGCTTTTGATGTTGAGTCTCTCGTGGAAAATCTATTACGCCAGCTTGCTGGCAATCAGGAAATCATGGTCAATGTATATGATGTCACAAATGCATCTGAACCATTAATAATGTATGGAACCAATCCTCCTGATGATCACATGTTACTTTCACATGTCAGTATGCTTGACTTTGGAGATCCATTTAGGAAACACCAAATGAAGTGCAGGTAATGCTGTCTTCATGTTTAGTGGTGGATCACCATCTTGAGATATTCTAATTTTAGATCTTACTTAGGTAAGACTAATATCTTGAGGTTCCCATGGCAGATACCGTGAGAAGCCTCCAGTTTCACTATCATCAATTACTACGCCATCTGGTATTTTTGTGATCTGTATGCTGGTAGGGTACATAGGTTATGCTGCTTGGAGTCACTATGATAATGTTAAAGAAGATTTTCGTAAAATGGAAGAGCTAAAGAAGCAAGCAGAAGCTGCAGATGTTGCTAAATCTCAGGTTATATTTTTTACATTCTTTGTGAATTTCAAGGTCTACATTTAGTTTATCTAAACAACAGTTATTGTTCCAACAGTTTCTTGCTACTGTCTCTCATGAAATCAGAACACCTATGAATGGAGTCCTTGGTATTCTCTAGTCCCCATTAAATTGTTAAAAGCTTAGAGTAAAGCCTTCACAATGTGAAAGCTGATCACTGCTTTTTTCATTTGTAGGAATGCTCGATATGCTTTTGGACACAAACCTGAATTTAACTCAGAAGGATTATGCACAAACTGCTCAAGTCTGTGGAAGGGCACTGATATCGTTGATTAATGAAGTACTTGACCGAGCAAAAATTGAAGCTGGCAAGTTAGAGATAGAGTCGGTTCCATTTGACCTGCGATCTATCCTAGATGATGTGATATCATTGTTTTCTGCAAAATCAAGAGAAAAAGGAATTGAGGTGAATAATAACCTCTTTTCTCATTGCAAAATATTGGACATATATTCTGTTTGATTATTGCTGTAATATGTGTGGCATCTTAATGGAATTTTGGTATGGATCTGAGCATTTGAATATGTGTTAATCTCTTTTCTGCTTTATTCTGCTCAAAACATGCTACTGCAACATGATTCATTTTAAGTGGATTCTGCATTCTATATTTTGACCTTCCCAATATTTGTTATGTTGTATTGGCAAGTGCAGCTAGCTGTTTATGTTTCTGAGAGAGTTCCTAGTATTCTCATGGGTGATCCTGGGAGATTTCGGCAAATTATTACAAATCTTGTTGGGAACTCAGTCAAAGTGAGTACACTCTTTTTCTTGAGGCACAAAATGTATTCTTTTCTCTGTTGTAGAATTTTCAGATGGTTGTACCAAGATGAATTTTGTACTTATTGGACACTATAAAGTTCAGCATAATTATACAGTATGTTGAAGTCCTTAGACTGAGCTACAAATTAGTTTACGTTAATTGAAGTGTCCTTGATCTTCTATCTTTGATCTGTCACAGTTTACAGAGAGAGGTCATGTTTTTGTCCAAGTTCATTTGGTTGAGCATGTGAATATGGCGATGAATGCAACAGCCGAAACAGGTTTAAATGGACATGTCAATGAAGTGAACAAGAAATCAGCCACTACTGTGTTCAATACATTAAGTGGTCTAGAAGTTGCTGATTCTAGAAATACATGTGAAAGCTTTAAGTTGTTGCTCTCTCACGGGGCATCTCTATCCTGCACATTTGGAGGTGGGTCAGTTCCTGAAAGTATTGCTGATAAAGTAACTCTAATGGTTAGTGTTGAAGATACAGGGATAGGCATCCCGGTTCATGCCCAAGATCGAGTTTTCACACCTTTTATGCAGGCTGACAGCTCAACTTCCAGGAATTATGGTGGAACCGGTATTGGCTTGAGCATCAGCAAATGTCTGGTTGAACTTATGGGTGGGAAAATAAACTTCATTAGTCAGCCTCATGTTGGAAGCACATTTATGTTCACTGCAGTCCTCCAGAAATGTGGAAAAAGTGCCGGTGTTGATACAAAGAGATCTCTTTCTGAAGTTCTGCCTACCTGTTTTAGAGGAATGAGAGTAACTCTAGTTGACAGGAGAGCAGTCAGAGCTGCCGTAACAAAATACCATCTACAAAGGTTGGGCATAATCATTGAAGATGTTAGTACTGTCAATGAAGTTCTATGTGCACTATCTGGACAAAATGATTGTTTAAACTCTAGGTGAGCCTTGTGTATGCCTATCTTTGTTTCTTATTGTGACAATTTTTTATAATTGGTATTCTTGAAGTTCTCAACATTTTATGAAATGCTCTACGTGGAAATGGTTTTTGTGTTGCATCTAAATTGGACTTTAAAAAAGAAATTTGGTTAGAATTGTGACCTGACAATGGTGATATACAAAACTATTAACTTTCATAGAGCCTTTCTGTTTTCTGGTATAAACACAAAAGTTCTTGTGTATCATATATGCCCAACAGTTTGAGGGGCATGCATTTATTTATATATATGTTGCTTGTTTTTGTTGAAAATTTAAAATTTAAATTATGAAAAAAATAACATATTATTTTATCATATCTTATTATGTTATTGTTTTTTCTGTATTTTACAACCATCAGATCCAGTTATTGATTAGCAGTAGCAAGTTGGCTTTTGGCAATGTGAATCAACATATAATATATATATTTGGTACTTTCATATTAAGATTCTGATGTTGATGAGATTAATAAGAATTTAAGTGTTGTTTCTATGCTTCCATTGATTTGTTTTCACCATTATTTATGCTATTGGTGTCTCACTATTATTTTTTGCTATTACTGCAGTCAACCTGGGAAACAACCATCCATATTGTTAATTGAGAAAGATTCATGGGATCCAAAGGTCGACGTTCATATTCAGAATCAACTCTTGGAATACAAAGAAGCTGGTCGCATACAAGTTGTGCCGAAAGTTGTTCTTCTATTGACCATTGAATCTGATAAAACAAGGGCTGGATCTCATGTTGATGCTATAATTGTGAAGCCTCTGCGGGCAAGCACCATAGCAACATGCTTTCAACAGATGCTGGGGATGGGAAAATGTCAAAATAAAGATACACTTAGTGGTTCAACTTCCCTCCGTGGCTTGTTGGATGGGAAGAACATATTGGTGGTTGATGATAATAAGGTGAATCTTAGGGTTGCTGCTGCTGCACTGAAAAAGTATGGCGCAAAGGTTGTGTGCGTTGAAAGTGGCAAAAGTGCTCTTTCCTTGCTCCAACCCCCACATAAGTTTGATGCTTGCTTCATGGATGTGCAGATGCCAGAGATGGATGGGTATGTATATTGGGCATAATTCAATTGATAAATTTGCATTGTTGCAAAAGTTTCTATTCTATTGATGAAATTACATAGTTACATGTCTTTTAGTTTTCTTGTGCTTAATGTCATATTTTGTTGTGCAAAAATTCTATTTATGAAATTGCATCGATCATAATTATCTTTAACCAGGTTATGACTCAAGTAGGAGGGGTCAGGTTTGAGGCGCCTGGAGCATGCTTTGGGTTCTGCACCTGCTCTTAGCCCAGCCCAAGCCCGACCAGCTGTCCTCGAAACTTCACCCTCAGTGCTTGTCTTATGTACTAAGGATGAGTTTGCCTCTGTCATTGACCTAGAAAGCTTCGGATCCGGTCAGGACCATCTTTTGTTGTCATTGGGGTTGGGAGAAGTCCAGTGGTGGCTAGGTCTTGGTTGAGAAGCATCCAATGATAGACTCAGCGATGCTAGTATCGGTGACCGGCTCACTACTGTAAGAATGGATAGCTAAGGCAAAATTCTAGATCTGGATCGGTTAGAGTTTGGACATTAGTTAGACTGTTGACCAAGACCCAACTTAACTTGGTATGGTGGTGGGGTACTAGGTTCTCTTACCAAAGGTGGAAGGTTCAAAACCTCATCCAATATATTTTACACCTTAAACATTGGTCTGGTGGTGGTATACCAGGCTCTCTTACCAAAGATTGAGAGCCTTAAATTCAAGACCTCATTCAATATATTTTACACCTTAAATATTGGTCTGGTGTACCAGACCCTCTTACCAAAAGTTGAGGGTTCAAAACCTCAGCTAATATTATTTACACTTTAAACATTGGTCTAGTGGTAGTGTACCAGATCCTCTTACCAAGGGTTGAGGATTTGAAACCTCATTTGATATATTTTTAAAGGTGTCAGCTAGTTTAGTTGGTAATGACCTTGATGGTTTATCGCAAGGTTCTTAGCTCGAATCTTGCCTTCACCACTTACCCTTTGCCAAAAAAAAAAAAAAAAGGGACCCAACCTAACCTACTTCTCAAACACCATTGCTTGTCTAAAACTGAATTTAATTATTTTTGGACAAATTCAATCCAACCTCTCCACCACCCATTCTTGATAAGACTACTATGATCATAAGCCAAAAAGATTCATACGTGATATCTGAGGTTCCCCTCAATCCTTTGTCATCTTCTTAAGTGTGGAATTTTATGCATTACACTCTTTTACATGTGAAAGAAAAGGAAATAAACAGATTCCTATATGATATCTGAGGTTCCCCTCAATCCTTTGCCATCTTCACAAGTGTGGAATTTTATGCATCACAGTCTCTTTTACAAGTGAAAGAAAAGGATATAAAAATGCTCTAGTGTGGTTTAAGAAGTTACAATTGACTGACTGATACATTACAAACTGTAGAACCTTTTGTTACCAATCTATATAGAATTTTACTGAGCACCTTCGCTTACCATTGCACTGCACAATCAGCAACCTTTACTCATCAGCAATTAGGTCACTTCTCTTTGTAATTAATTCTCATGAGTTGAACGGTTAAAGGTTTTAGTGGAAGTATAAAATTAGGAACACATAAGAGAGTGTGTGTATATTTAAGCTTTGGATTTGCTAGATAACATGCATCCATTTGTTATCACTCAAGAAAGATGGGAAATTCATTGTACAATTGTATGTTCTTAAATGTCAGATTTGAGGCAACACGCCAGATACGCCTAATGGAGAACAAGGCAAATGAAGAAGCTCCTCTGGAAGAAGGTTCGGTGAAGGCTAAATGGCGCTTACCTATCTTGGCAATGACTGCTGATGTTATCCAAGCAACACACGAGGAGTGTGTGAAATGCGGAATGGACGGGTATGTCTCCAAGCCTTTCGAGGAAGCTCAGCTATATCAAGCAGTTGCCAGATTTGTGGTTTCCCAACCCATTCCAGACTCTTGACAGCATCCACATCGGCACATGTTCTGCATCCGAAGAGCGCAATTCTCCACCCTAGCATGTGAGGTAGTTCTTGTCCAAAGTGCCTTGCATCTTGGAAATTGGCAGGATCAAGGCAACTTGATTTTGAGATTTAATCTCCCTCGAGGGTAATTCATCTTGGCAGTTTCACAGAGCCACTGGATCAAGCTGTTGTAGATTTGAAACTAGCAGCAGATATCAGAGGTTTAATACACTGAGCAGCAAGGTATAGTATAGATGTTGTGTGGCAATGTAAAATCTGAGACCATACCATTTCAGTGGTGTAAATTGCGATGTTCATGCTGATTTTTTGTTGGGAGCTCTAATGAGCATAATTTTGCTCTTCAAGCTCTGACAAGTACATTAAATGAATCATTCAATGACAGATGAGTTTCATATATCAGTGGTGAAGATCCAATTTTGGCTTAATCTATCCTCTCCAGTTTCTCTGTTTTTTCTTATTTCTTGTTGGACGATCCTTCTATGGATGTTCCATATTCTCAGTTTTTTTAGCTCTCAGAAAATTGGAATCATTTTGTACTGTGTGATTCTTTGCAACAAAAAACCTTGTAATGTGTTTGAGAATGAGCTATGCTTAGAGTTCAATCCAGTTTTTTGTGTTTCCTTTCATTGTGTATTAATGGTTTTTATTAGAATTATGTGTTGTACCATGAATTAATTTGGTATCGTATGTTGTATGTCTGGTGTATCTTTCAAGTTAACAATTTATAAATGTCTCTACAGAAAGTTATGAAGTGGATAAAGATGTTTTACCAAAGAGGAGATTATTAGTTTGATCTTAAGTAGAAATCAAATTGTTTGGATAATTTAGTTGTTTGAAGGAAAAGGAATTCAAGTGTCACAATGTTTTTGGTCCTTAAAATTAGTATTTGATTGTTTTATAAATATTTTATTTATTTTAAATTTTTTTATGAAGGAAGATATAAAAAATATTTTTTTTTGGAGAAATGCAATCACAATACCAAAATCATAGTTTTTGGATAAGTATAGAGGAAAAATATTTATAGTGGTTTTAAGATATTAATGGAGCAAAAATATCTCAAGTGTTGAAATAATATCTTTTTTATGTTTTATTATTCTCACATTCTAAACTATTTAAAAAATTTCTCGGGAGAATTTATCTAATCATGGCTTGCTTACTAAATATTCTTTTAAACCCAACCTATTAACTTCATTTTTCATCTCAATCCTAACTTAGCGTTTGAGAGATCAAATCGACAAAGATATCACCAATAATTACACCGTCAACTTATGATCTTTATCTTTTATTTTCTTTGCAAACTGATAGGGAATATAAATCAACTAACCACCAGGAATATAAATCAACTAACCACCATTCGTCATGCCAACACCATATCAGGCCAACACCCTCCTATCCATAACGATAGAAGCTCAAAAAATAGCTCAGGTCAATTATCGAGTTGTCGAGCTACCTTCCTTACATAATATTCATAGGAATATTCTTGAAATATTATAAGACAATTTGGGTTCGTTACAAACCGACTTCCCTATGGAATATTCATTAGAATATTCTTGAAATACCAAAAGGTAATTCATGTCGGTGAATCTGCCCTCCTTGAAATATTTGTAAGAATATTCTCAAAATATTAGAAGATAATTCGAGTCAATTATAAATCAAACTCCCCAATTAAATATTCATAAGAATATTCTTGAAATATCAAAAGGCAATTCAGGTCGGTTATGTGCTAGTTATAGGTGCCTTGTACGTCAATCACATGAGTGATGACACATGTGGCATACTGCATAATCTTTTTTGTTGTTGTTGTTGTTATTATTATTATTATTATTATTATTATTATTATTATTATTATTATTATTATTATTATTATTATTATTATTATTATTATATTTTCTCACTTTATATTGGATGATAAATATATTGTGATGTCCTTGGATTTGTGCAATGAGAGTTGAATCATGATGAGATCATGATAATAAGACCAATTCATCTATAGACATAGACCCAATATATTCTTGGTCATAGGTTACTCGAGAGGGTCATCGAGATAACCGGATAGATCAGTGTACTATATACCTATCCATATGATGAAGACAACTGGTCTCATAGCTGCTTGTGTAGGGACACTAAGGATATAGTGCATGTGCTCATTGGAGAATGAGTTTAATGAACAATCTGCTTACTGAATGTTGGTTGGTTAATGATATCTCACAGTCAGACAATGATTCTGTAGTCTCAATTGTGTGTTTGGTCCTTAAACTTAAGACACTATGGATGTCCTTAATTAGTACTTCACTATTTGATATCAGATTTATAAGTCTGAGAGTTCTAGATATAGCAAAACCGGTCATCGAGGGTAGTAGCCAATCTTATAAGGGAAATTAGGTGTCAATAGAGGATCATCTACTCTCGATATCATGAGAGGAATATCCAATGCATTTTCACTCAAGCAAATTCTTGGCCAGGGTCGATCAGATCATGATGAATCCGATAAGGGTGAGATTTGGATTGAGAGAGGAGTTCTTCGGGAGAATCCGATTAGAGTGGGACTCGGATAGATTTCGTATGGGCTTGACAGCATCCTGCCCGGTATACAATCTCTGGGATATTAAATAAATGAGAGACTATAGATACACGGTAATTGAGAGCATATAAGTCTAATGGATTAGATTCCCTTGTACCGTTTGAGACTATGACGTAGTGGCCTAGTACGAGTTGAGTGAATTATTATGGGAAAAATAATTCACTGAATCATAAAGAGTTCTAGCAGGTACAGTTCATAGCCAGCTCAGTATTTGGCCTAGAAGGTCACACACACATATTGTGGATGACACGATGAATAGAGGGTTAGATATGTGATATCCAATAAGCTCCTATTTTATTAGATCTATTGAGTGAAACCCAATAAGAACTTAGAGTGGATATTTGGATGGAAATCCAATTTTCATTAAACTAAAGATAATTAGATGGAGATTCATATCCAATATGCTAAAATAATTGGATGAAGATTCAATACCCAATAGGGCAAGAGCCATTAGAGTTAAGTTGAGATGACTCTTTATAAATATGAGGGGGGCAAAGAATCATGGGCTAGACTCTTTGGCCGCCTATCTTCTATTCTCCTCCCTCCCTTTCGTCCCCTACTATCAACCCTATTTGGGGCATGAGAATAGCAAGAAGGGCTGACCCCTTCTTGTGCTTGCTACTACGTGGTGGTGCACGAAGGCAACGAAAGAATGCATCGCAAGAGGAGGTGTGTCGCTGCTTCATCCGTCGTGTGAATCACCACTAGAGAGGAGTTTACGAGAGCTCCTTCATCCATGGATTGAGATATGCAAATCGGAGATATATAATCTCCCATAGGTGAGAATGTCCTACACGTGTTGTGTTATGCAGTTTTTAATTTCATAAGTTTTTCGTTCTCAATTGTCGCACGAAGATTAGATATGATTCTTTTAGAAATTTTTTTTGTTTTATTTTTTTGTTATGCATGTGATGCTGTCTGAGATTTCCCAACATTATGAACCACTCTCTTGCGGAATATTCAGAGGAATATTTTAGGAAGGCTAGAAAGCAGTTCAGGTCAGTTATAAACAACCTTCCCTATAGGATCTTTACGAGATATTCCTCCTCCCAAAGGTTAGTCTAAAAATTATCATTACATTATTTCATCAAGCATGATTTCATAAGGTATTTTTAATCAAAATCATTTTGTTTGTTTATCATAAAACATGTAATTTTTAAAATCACTAGAAAGGTAAGCATGATCCAATTTTATTTTTGTATTTTTATTCAACATTATTAAACATATAATTTTTAAGAAAAATAACTAAACTAAATTAAAAATAACTCATGAAAAAATATCATGTAATTTCGAAATAAAATAAAGGTATTTTGATTACCTCATCGTCGAAAGCCATTAAGGCGTAGTTTACCACCTCGCCTTTATTGATTTTCTCCTCGTCTTATGAGGAGCTCGTTGGAGCTCGTTTCGTCCCAAAGTGCATTCTTCTTCTTCAATTTGTTTTTATTTTTTGATTCTTGCTTTAAGTACTTTTTAAGTTTTATTGTGAGAAGTTCAAGTTCATCATCACTTGAGCTTTCGCTCGAGTGGTCTTCTTTTGTTCGATGTGCCAAATCCTTCCTATTCTTTGGAAGGTGGTTCTCAAGTTCATCATGTTCAACATGTGTCATAAAACTCATTTCATAGGTCTTTAAAGACCCTATTAGTTCTTCGAGTGGAAAACGGTTCAAATCCTTGGCATCTTGTATGGCCGTTACTTTAGAGTCCTAAGTTTTAGAAAGTGAGCGTAAAACTTTATTGATGAGTTCAAAATTCGAAAAACATTTGCCGAGAGCTTTTAAACCATTGACGACATTTGTAAAACGGGTGTACATGTCAATAATAGTTTCACTAGGCTTCATTCGAAAAAGTTCAAAATCATACATTAAAAAGTTGATTTTCGAATCTTTAACTTTGCTAGTGCCTTTATGTGTGATTTCGAGAGTGCGCCATATGTCAAAAGCCGTTTCGCACGTAGAAACCCGATTAAACTCAGTTTTATCTAAGGCGCAAAACAAGGCATTCATAACCTTTGCATTTAGAGAAAAAGACTTCTCCAAATCATTCCAATGGTTCATTGGAAGAGAAGACATTTGAAAACCAAATTCGACTATATGCCATAAATCAAGATTCAATGAAAGCAAGAAAATTCTCATTCGAGTTTTTCAATAAGTGTAGTTCGTCCCATTGAAAAAGAGAGGGCGAATGAGAGAGTGACCCTCTTGAAAGCCGAAAAGAGTTATTTCTCTTTAGGTGTTAAAATCACGTCACTAAGAGGGGTCGGCACTAAGAGGGGGGGGGGGTGAATTAGTGCAGCAATAAAATCACGTCAGTTTCAGAAAATTCTTTCGTACGATAAAAATCGATTTCGGAAACTTAACTTGAAACACGTGTTCGTAAATGTATTGAAGGCAGTAAGCAAGTAAAATGGTTTGCAGTAAAGTAAATGGCAACAATAGAAATGCAAACCAGAGAACACGCCAATTTTATAGTGGTTCGATCGTCGTCACCTACATCCACTTCGCCGATTCCTCTTCCGTCGAGGCCACCAGCATCCACTATCGATCTTCTGTTAATAGACGAAGATCAACCTCCTTCTTACACCCCTCTTCTCCTTTTACTGGGTTTACGAGACAACCCTTACAAGCACTCACTCCTCTCACAAACTATTCTAACACTTAGACTAGAGGAGGATTCTCACAAGAGGTTTCTACATCATTTTTCCCTTTTTAAATTCTCTGTGCTTGTGTATTTTAACCAGGGATGAGAGGGGCATTTATAGGTCTTAAGTTGATTCAAACTTGGAGCCTAAAAACATCTCATCCCTGGTTTCCTA